ATACTAAAAACCATTGAATTCTGTAGCTAAAAATGGTGGATTTTGTGTTATGTGAATTTTATGAATGTGAGTCTAATACTAAAAAAAGAATAAAAAGTAAAAAAAAAACCAAACCAACAATTTGTAATAGTATTTTCATATGCCCTGTTTTTTGTTCAAGACACATGCAAAATTCAGGTGATTCTCTTCTCTTTTTTTTTTTTGAGTTGGAGTCTCACTCTGTGGCCCAGACTGGAGTGCAGTGGCCACTCCCGGCCACCACAACCTCGACCTGCTGGGCTCCGGTGATCCTTCCCCCTCAGCCTTCCAATTAACTTGAACTACAGGCGCACGCTACCACACCCAGCTAATTTTTGATTTATTGTAGAGATGAGGTCTTGCCAAGTTGCCCAGGCGGGTCTCGAACCCGCGGGCTCAGGCAATCCACTCATCTCGGCCTCCCAAAGGCGCGGGATTACAGGCTGAGCCACCGAGCCCAGCAGGTGATTCTCTTTACCTGATTCAAGTGGTTGCACAGTTCATGTTGAGATTGTTGAATATCCTCTCATCTCAAGTTCCTGGGAAGCGCAGAGTCTCATTTATATCTATATCATTTTAAATAAACAAATACAGATTTTTTTCTAGCTAAGACATGATTGTTGTACGAAATTTATATAATATACACTGTTCTTATGGTCTTGCCCCTTAGAAATAACTCCTCTAGTGGTTTGGTGTACATTTTTCTAAACTTTTTTTGCTTATATAAACATTTTATTAGATTTACATGTATAAAAATAAATAGATTTATGTATATGTATGTTTAATAAATGTAATCGTACTATCAGGTTTTCCTGCTGTACTGCATTTTTCTATAAATCATATAACCATGTATATATCTGTTTCTGGATTCTATTTAACTTAATTGGTATCAGTGCCTTTTTTTTTTTTTTTTTTTTTTTAATTTTAGAAACAGGATCTCCCTCTGTTGCCCAGGCTGGAGTGTGTGGGGCGGTCATAGCTCACTGCAGTCTTTCACTCCTCCTGGGCTCAAGGGATCCTCCCACCTTGGCCTCCCAAGTAGCTGGTACTACAGGTACATGCCACCACACCCTGCTAATTAAAAAATTTTGTATAGAGACAGGGTCTCACTATGTTGCCCAGACTGGTCTCCAACTCCTGGCCTCGAGATCTTCTCGCCTCAGACTCCCCAAGCTCTTACCATACATACCATCTTAATTACTGTACTTTTTTTTTTTAATTGGAATCTCACTCTGTCGTCCAGACTGTAATGCAGTGGCACTCATGGCTACCCCAGCGTCGACTTATTAGGCGCCGGCGATCCTTCTGCTCCAGCCTTCCAAGTAGCCAGAACTACAAGTGTGAGCTTCCATACCCGGCTAATTTTTTGATTTATTGTAGAGATAAGGTTTTGCCAAGTTGCCCAAGCTGATGTCGAACTCCTGGGCTCAGGCAGTTCCTCCACCTAGGCCTCCCAAAGTGTGGGATTACAGGTTTGAGCCACTGTGCCTAGCCTGGTTGTCAATTTCTTAAGAAAAGTCCTGGTGGGATTTTATATTGAACCAAAAAGTTAATGTGGGAATAATTGAGATCTTGACAATATTCAGTTTTCTAATCTATGAACATGAACATGCCCTTTCTTTATTTAGGATATCTTTAATTTCTCCTATTAATACTTCTTTTTTTTTTTTAATGTAGGAATATTGTACAAATGGACTTCCTTCCTCGTTACACTTAAACATTTACTTAGTTCTTTTGTGTGTGTGTGTGTGTTGAGGTCTCACTCTGTCGCCCAGGCTGAAGTGCAGTGACATGCTCACAGGTACCACAGCCTTGACCTCTTGGGCTCAGGCAATCCTTCTTCCTGGGCCTACAGGTGTGTGCCACCACACTCAGGTGATTTTTTTTTTTTAGAGACAGGGTTTCACTTTGTTGCCCAGATTGGTCTCAAACTCCTGGGCTCGAGCAATTCTCCTGCCTCCCAAAGTGCTGGGATTACAGACGTTATTTCTTTTTTAATAGTAGTTAAATAATTTGAATGAACCATATATGTTTTTAACCTTTCCTGAGGGTATTGAAGGCTATTTCAAATCCTTCTATATTAAAAACAGTGCTACTGAAAATCCTTGCCGAATGTATTTGCTTCAGACCTGATTGCAGCTTCTGGTTAAGAAGCTTAAACAGACCAGCTTCTGGTCTGTTGGAAAATAAAATTATTCTACGTCAGATGAATAGCAGCCATGACCATAAAGTGAAGTAGGACTTAATCTACTTTGCTGCTCAGATTCCCTGTAGCATTTACTAGTGCCGTCTGGCCTTTGTGCAAAACCTCCTGCAGAGCTGTGATACCCACTCCACTGGTTCTCTTCCTGCCTTTCCTGCCATGTTTGCCCTCTGGGTTCGCACAGCCCCCTGTGCATACACAGCCCCCTGTGCGTACACAGCCCCCTGTGCATACACCTATCTTAAAGCTTCAGGCATCATATTGAAATTACTTATTTGTAAGAACAGAAAATGAGTGCCTGGGCAACATAGTGAGACCTCGTCTCTTAAAAAAGATAAATGAAAAAAAAAAGTTCCACTTGGACAGGACCACGAAAGAACCTGAAGGACAGAGCACTAAGAAATATGGACTTTATTCAACAGGCAATGGATAGTCACTGGCATCTTTAAAGCACAAAATTACAATCGGAGCTCTGCTTTAAAATTCCTCGTAGTGCCAGAATGAAGAGATATTAGAAATGCAGAGATTCTCGCTTTCTTTTTTCTTTTTTTGAGTTGGAGTCTCACTCCGTTGCCCAGACTGGAGTGCAGTGGCCACTCCCGGCCACCACAGCCTCGACCCGCTGGGCTCCGGCGATCCTCCCGCCTCAGCCTTCCAAGTAGCTGGAACTACAGACACACGCTATCATGCCCAGCTAATTTTTTTATTTATTGTAGAGATGAGGTCTCGACAAGTTGCCCAGGCAGGTCTCGAACCCGCCGGACTCAGGCAGTCCATTCACCTCAGCACAGGATGACAGGCTGAGCCACCGAGCCTGGCTTCGTTTTCTTTTTTCTAACGCTTGTGCCTAACACAGTATCTGTTAAGGAGTAAGCACATGGTGGTCCTGTAAAACATGGATGTGAAGGCCAGGCATGGTGGTTCACACCTGTAATCCCAGTTCTTTGGGAAGCTGAGGTGGGAGAATCCCTTGAAACCAGGAGTTTGAGACCAGTCAGGGCAAAATAGTAAGACCCTGTCTCCAAAAGAATGAAAAAATTAGCCAGGGGCAGCGGTGTATGCCTGTAGTCCCAAGACTCAGGAGGCTGTGGTGGGAGGATTGCTTAAGCCCAGGAGGAGGCTGTGGTGAGCTATGATTGTGCCATTGCACTTCTGACTAGGCGACTAAGTCGACTTTGGCTCTGCCAAAAGAAAAAAAAATACCATGGCAGTGAAACCTACACTGTTGGTCTTTATTGATTTTGCTGAGACTCTTGCATTTCTAGTATCTCTTCATTCTGGCACTGCTAGGAATTTTAAAGCAGAGCTCTGATTGTAATTTTGCACATCAGAGATTTCAGTGACTATCCATTACCTGTTGAATAAAGTCCATATTTCTTTTTTTTTTTTTTTGAGTTGGAGTCTCACTCTGTCACACAGACTGAAGTGCAATGGCCGCTCCCGGCCACCGCAGCCTCGACCTGCTGGGCTCTGGCGATCCTTCCGCCTCAGTCTTCTGAGTAGCTGGAACTACAGGCGTGCACTACCACGTCCGGCTGATTTTTTTTGATTTATTGTAGAGATAAGGTCTCGCCAAGTTGCCCAGGCGGGTCTCGAACCCGCGGGCTCAGGCGATACACTCGCCTCGGCCTCCCAAAGTCTGGGATTACAGGCTGAGCCACCGAGCCCGGCCAAAAGTTCATATTTCTTAGTGTCATTCCGGTTCCTTTGTAGTCCTGTCCAATTGGAACTTTTTTTTTTTTTTTTCTTTAAGAGACAAGGTCTCACTATGTTGCCCAGGCAGGTCTTGAACTCTTGGGCTCAAGCAATTCTCCCTCTTTGGCCTCCCAAAGTGCTGGGATTATAGGTGTGAGCTACCGTGCCGTCCCCAAACAGAGCTTATATTCTTCATGTACACTGTAGATTAATGAAGGTGGGCTTTTGCTGGTATTGTGTCTTCTACATACCCTTTACCTGTCAAAATCTCACCTGTTCTTCAGATGTCCAGTATAATTGCTGGTTCCTCCGTGAAGCTTTCTGTAACTTCCCCGACTCCCACCAAAAGAGGTCATTTTCTCATCCAGACACTCAGTACCATGTTGACTGTGGCATAGCATTATTTTTATATCTCACTAAGTGATAAATTCCTTGAGCACAAGGTCTTGTCTGTGTTTTCTCTTTTGTTTTGCATTGATTATTGCATTGAATATACAGGGTAGGGCTTGGGATCAAGTGTTTGGGATTTCAGATTTTTGCCGATTTTGAAATATTTGCATACACATAATGAAATATATACGTAATGAGATGGGGATGGGTCTCAAGTTGAAACACAAACTTTATTTCTGTTTTGAATACACCTTAAACACATAACCCGAGGGTAATTTTTACAGTCGTCTAAATACCTGTACACCTGAAACAGTTTTGGCTGTGTTTTGACGGCACCCTCGCACCTGGGGTCCAGGTGTGGAATTCTCCACGTGTGGCATCATGTCGGTGCTCGAAAAGTTTTGGATTTGGGAGCATTTCACATTTTCAGATTAGGATGGTCGGCCTGTACATGAATTACACTGAATATAAACTAATAATTTTTGGTTTTTCAGTTTCAAGGAATCTGCTCAGACTGTCAGAAATTTTTCCTCTGCATTGGCCTACAAATAAATGCACCCAACTCAGAAACTATGTAGGTTTAAACAATGCTTTTATTCTTGGAACTTCAGTTTAGGAAACAATTATTTTCCCAGATGGAAGTTTATGTTTAACATGGCTGCCGTTCTTTATACTGACTCTCCTCCTTTTCTAGGGCACCGTGTTCAGTCTCGAGTCAGAGGAGGAAGAATACCCTGGACTCATTGCAGAAGACAGCAATGACATTTATATCCTGCCCAGCGACAACTCTGGACAAGTCAGTCCCCCAGAGTCCCCGACTGTGACCACCTCCTGGCAGTCAGAGAGCTTACCCGTGTCACTGTCAGCCAGCCAGAGCTGGCACACGGAAAGCCTGCCAGTGTCCCTGGGCCCTGAGTCCTGGCAGCAGATTGCGATGGATCCTGAGGAAGTCAAGAGCCTGGACAGCAACGGGGCTGGGGAGAAGAGCGAGAACAACTCTTCTAACTCGGACATCGTGCACGTGGAGAAGGAGGAAGTCCCCGAG